TCAATCTAATTGGTATTCACTCCAACCATTTAATTTATTAAATGCATGTAATATTTACCTTCCTATAAATCATAAAATCTATTCAATCCATTAATTTGCCCATAAAATAACCAATATTCCAAGTTCATATCCTCATTATAGTTTTCTGAACTAACTTCTTGACACGGCCATTCATGATATGAGACCCTTGGTTATTTAAGACAACATTTGGGTGTCGGTGCTGCGGCCCTTGTACATTTCTCATTATATTTAGGCCCTACAACACATCAATTGCACGAATCGCACGAGTATTAAATAATGTATTTATGCCATAATTTTTCGACAAGTTTTATGCTGGTTAAAGAATATCAAACCCAACCCTCCATATTTCTCATCCAATGCTTGGGGCATGACATCAGTAGTGTTTGAAAACTTTCTTATCACAGCACCCCAAACCCCACTTGGCCCATATATGCAGCACCGTTGCTAAATTTAATTCTCCTAGGTCAAATTTGATTTGTCTTTTTAATGTCCCTGAAATAAGAGAATTTAGGCACTTTTGTTGCATTGGATATGCTTAGTAAAGTATTGATTATCTTATTTTGTGCTATTTGTGCATTCCAAGTTTGATAAATGACATATTGTCATTTTGGTGCAATGTCTTGTCCATTAAAAGAGAAGAATAAAATTAAGTGTTGTATAAATGCAGATGCTTGGTGGATGACTAACTTTATATCTAGAGACATAATGCAAAATAAATATATATACATGAAAAGACTAAAGTTACTCCAATTATTGATAAAGTTAGAGAGTCGCCTTAGATGATTTGGTCAGATAAAGCATCAAAATCTTCCAAGGACTCAAGAGAGTAGATGTATTAAATCCAACCTTTATTTTAAAAGGCAAAAAATAGATGTAAAAGAATTGGGTATCAAGTATTAAAAATGATATTTTTTATTAAGTTTAAATAAGACTTTGATTCTGAATAAAATTCAATAAAAAAGAATGATTGATATAACTAACACCACAGAGGTACACAGACTTCTGAGTGAAAAAAAAAATGATTAAAAATGTAATATATATACATAATTTTGAAAATAGTATAATTGCTACTTATAAAACAACTTAATTGAAAAATCATGTGATTTTATTTTTCTTTATACCTACCTTGAATCCTCTGAAAATAGTATAAAAAAGCTGACTCCTTATAATAAATAAGAGTGCAATAGCAACTGATGAAATAAACCATTTTAGACTAACATTCAAACTTCTAAATCACATTAAAAATATAATTAATATTAACTTTTTAAATTATTATTATATATATTTACAAATATTTTAATATGATTGAGAAACTTATATATTGTTCAAATATAAAATTTTATATTTTAAACATAAATACATAAAAGCTATGTTACCATGTAAATCCCCCTAAATTTTATCCCTACCGCTTTACTACTGGTTGAGCAGAATCTTTATTTCTGCCAGGAATTCTTCTATACAAACCATCCCTGTTACTGATTGGAGTAGAATTCTCAAAATTCTGCTATAGAAGCCACATCCCTGCTGCCCATTTGAGTAGAATCCTGCACTTACAAACCTAACGTGTAGTAATACACGACCATTCAGATATCGAATGACTTGTGATTTATGAGTATGAAACTATAATCATTTATATTACGTATATAACTCATCAAATTGGCTATGAACTTTGATACCACTGAGCAAGCTTTATATGTTAATTGAATTGCAAGCTGATTTTTCAGCTTTTTTGAAAGCTTCTGACATAACACAGAAATCATCTGAACACAAGAAAAAAAAATCTTTTTATCCATTTTTTTAAATTTTTAATTTCCATCATAATTTCTCTCTTGAATCTTGATACCAATATGTGCATCGTGCAAATCTCAATATTATTCATAAAACAAAGATGAAAAACAAAGAGAAGAATTTTACAATCAAGATATTTTCTATTCAAATTTGCATTCCAGCTATGTTATCCTTCTCAAGCTGTTTTTCAAATTATTAAATTCGCAGAACGAGCACATAAAAAACTCCAAAACTTTGGTATGGCATGAATTTTTCATGAAAAAAAAAAAAGGAATATAATAATCAACTTGCAAATTCAAAAAAAAAATCAAGAGATAACAGTCCAATCAAGTTCATTCGTTACAGAGTACTTGATTCAATGGTATGAAGATCCTCAGAAGTTTGTTCTGAGAAGTGAACATTGCTGGCTCATAGAACTCGTGCCTATATTTTTAATAGCAAAGGGAGTTCAAATCAGACATAATTCAAGTTCAGAGCATGTATAGAAAGAAATATAAACCAGAGAATATAATCAATAACACGAGGGAAGATGCATTAAGCTCCAGGTGTAGACGGACTGCTTATTCAATTAGGTCATCTATTTAAGTATTAAATTGCTCTTATCTCATATTTATTTCTATTTAAACGTCCTTAATAATTTTATTTTTACAATGCTTACCAGATAGAAATACAAGTTTGCTGGACCAGGATAAAGTAGTCATGGATAAAAACTTTAAAATCTAAAAAATAAATAGAAATAAAGAATGAAACGTAAATTAATTAAGCATAAAGAACATTAACTAATCACGATAAGGAAATATAAACATAGATTCATTACAAGGGAAGCATTCCTATCATCATCTGGAGGCAAGCAATATATATTAGCAAAACAATTAGCTGGAAACAGGGACAAAAGAGGAGCTTGCAACCAGATAATCTAAAGATAAAACTGAAACTCCAGACAGAATGGCCGCAAAACAGATTAAACAGAACTTTAAATTAAACATATCATAATCAATGAAAGAAACCAACTTTATCACCACAAAATCTTAGAAATAATTCTTTTCAGAAGAATATATAAATAATAAAGAGCTCCAAATTTAATAATTTAAGTTAACAAAAGAGAGAATAGCATGTTATCACAACACTATTCCATCCATTCCCATAAAAGTCGGACATGAAAAATTATCCTGAGCAAAAATGTGCACAAAATGAGCCTCAAATCACTTAGATATACTTTAAGCTAGGGCTGCAAGCGAACCAAACGTTCCACGAGCTACTCGTTGTTTGGTTCGATTAAAGCTCGTTTGTTAATTACCTAAACAAACAAACTTGAACAATATTTTAAATACTGGATTCTTAAATAAACAAACATGAACACTAATGCGTTCGGCTCATTTATGTTCGCGAACAACATCATTTGAAGTTTGTGAACAAGCTCGACATTAAGCTCGATAAGAAGCTCGATAAAAGCTCGATTCGAGTTCGATTTTGAACTCGTGAATAAGCTCAATACAAATAATTAATATTTGACTATAGAATTAATAAATATAAATAATCATTACCTTTGTTACATAGACAATTGCTTTTATTATAAATGTGTTTGTTCATAGATATGTTCAAGAAAGTGTTTGTTTGTTAGTTAAAAAAATTTGTTAAATATGTTCGCGAACAAGCTCGATAAACACTAAACGAACGAACATGAACCAAACATGAACATTCCTTAATTTAAATGAACCAAACATAAACACAAATGCTAAAACTTGAACAAACATGAACAAGCTAATATTAAATGAAGACAAACATGAACACTCACATACTCGGCTCGGCTCGGTTCATTTGCAACCCTACTTTAAGCTGAGCATAATATATAAATAATTAAGTCAAAGTAGATCTAATTTTTGGTCAGAACAACCTGATAAATTTATATTCAAAAATATATGAAGAATGGATATGCTTTTTTGTGCAGTATCTCATATGTTATCTTTGCTCTACTTTTTTTTCCTTCCTGTTCATTTATATTTTCCTAATGGTATTTTATACTGTCAACTTTGAAATCCAAATCACAACAAATTACTTCACCGCGTTGTGTTCAATTAATTCTAATCCCATATTTTTAAATAATCGTTCCCATTCTACTCTTAATAGCTTTGTCACACATCCATTTCTACAGCACTCAACCTGTTTGTTATGAATTCTTTGTTTGGAAACAAACTGAACATAAATCTAAATCAGTGCAATAACAATTATATAAATTAACCTTCATCTTTTTTAAGTCATAATAATTTCAATTGCATCATGCTCATAAGTTATATCTCTAACAACCCAATTTTTGCATCTGATAACTATTCTCATTCCTTCTGTATCTAATAAATTTAAAAATATTTCAATATATAAATCTAAATATCACTAAATCTTTCAATATTTTTAACCAATCATTATCAATTTCATCCAAAAAAATTAGTCAGTTTTCAATTTTGATTTACTAATCCTATGCCCTCAGCTTATACACCCTCACCCCCCAATTATTCCAACACCAAAGCATAACAGCAAATTCATCCAGAATGGAGTTGGGTATTCTCATTCGCAAAGACTCCATTAAGTGTGAATCCGTTTCCATTTTTTATTTGGTCAACTTGAGCAGCATACTTTAAAACTACCGCACTCTGGAAAAGAAGTGTTTCTTAAGGTGCATAACAATAATATGGGTTTTCCCAACTCAACTGTGTTCACTTCCCTTCACCAAGCACATAAAATTGACAAATAAAACAAGTTCAATATATACTAACAGTCATTTAAATCAAATGAGAACATCTGCAAACAAGAAAAAGACTGTTTGGAGCTCGTTATTCAGAATATGCGCGATTTGAACACAACTAAAACTATTCAGACATAGGAAAGTTCTCAAACAAGTTATGAGGACAAGAAGCCGAAATATTTTTAAAGAGAGATGGAGCCAAACCATTCCTACTGTTAAAAATCTCTGCCCATCTAGTCAACTTGAAAAATGGTCGACCTAGAAAACACATCAAGATCATGGCTGAAGGGTGGGTGCTTTAATGGAAATATTCTAGTGCAGTTGGAAACCGGAGAAAACGGTTATTTGAAACCATCACAACAGGAAATGGAACAGCAACTAGAAAGAATTGATTTTTTTAATCTTCCAATCAATATAAAGGCCTACTGCAACTACCAAAAAAAGTACTACTCCATTGGAAAAAAGCAGCAGCTTATTTTCCATATTAATTGTGAAAGCAAGGTAATAAACTCTCTATCTAGAATTCTTTTGCAACATTGACAACCCAAGAAACTGTGACCAGCCAGGAAGTCATAAATACATCCACATAGAAATTAATAAGTAAATACTACATCGATTCCAGAAATGCCACTCAAAATGTATGGGTGTATCTTTAGCACATGCTAACCTGAAACTGACGACACATGACCCCCAAGAAAAGCAAACAGAATATAATAGCGATAAGCAGGAGCAAGTTAAAAACACACACTCTGAGTTAAGCATGCTTCTCTCTTTCCCTATTCCACTGCTCAATCCTAGCCCTCCGCTCCTCACTTCCTTCTCTAACCGGGCTCCTAGACCGTCTTGGACTCCGATGCCTTCGCCTCACTCCATCATCATGCCTACCTCCATCATCATACCTTCCATACCTATCTCCACCCCTCCTTGCACGAAAGTCCCTTTCACGATTATCGTGCTCACGATATTCCCTCCGAATTTGTGGACTAGGGCTCCTGCTTCGGCTACGACTTCCCATAGACCTCCTGTATCGTCCAAAAAGTTTCCTCCTCAACTCCCTCCCAATCTGCTTCACATGCATAAAGTTGCAATACCCACCTCTATTGCAACTATTTTCCTCAAATTGACGACATGTGGCCTCCCGAAAGTCAGTAACAGGTGAGAAGTCAACAATTATTGGGCGTCCTGAATAAAATCTCCCTTGAAGTGCCCTCAGAGCTGCGGCTGCCTGGTCCTCCTCCTTGAATTGAACATATACATTACCTACCATGTGATCAGCAAGGTTATCACAAATGTTGAGACTCTCAATCTCACCAAACTTGCTCAACTCCTCAAAGATATCCTCATAGAAGTCCTCAAAATGTTCTTGGATCTTTCGGGGATCAATTGGCTGTCCCTGGGCATCAACACCAGGAGTGATCATGTCTGGCCGCTGGTACATATTTGACAGTAGAAGGGTGGGGGAAATGGTTGGCCTATTGTGGAGACGGGAGCATCGATCGCCATGACGGCAAGCTCCAATCTTAAAGTAGAATGGGCAGTTGACGCGGTCTTTCTCAGTTCCAAATATTGATGCAAGATGCTCAGCCATCACTGTTAGCTAATTATCAGATAACCACTTCAGCCACCTGAAAACCCCTAGTTATACATGAAACAAAAATCAGAATTAATTTTACAGAAGTGCAAAGAAAAGAGACTTAAACTAATTATAAAGTAAAATGAGAGCAAAAAAACAGAGAGGAAGAGGCACAGAGATTCTCAGCTAGAAACAGTAAAACGAAAGGTAGAAAGAAAACATTCAACAGAAAATAAAAGCTACATAGCAATCTAAAAGAAAACAAAAGTAGAATATAGCATATCATCATCATCTGCATCATTAGGTGTGTCCATGCTAATTGTCGAAAAATACTCTCCTTCCTCATCGTTCTTTCTTTTCAACATTGAAAGGGAAAAAATGACAATAATAATAAACTTATTAAGAAAGGTTACCATTTCAGGGCAACGAACGTGTATAACCTTCGCTTTCAACACACTATAGACAAACGAAGGATGGTTAGAGCTCAGAAATCAAAGAATTAAACAATTAAAAAAGATCTGCGCAACAGGAAACCCCTAATGCTTAAGATCAGAGATATTTAAAAAAAAAAAAAACCAAAAGTTCTAGCGTGCATGTTTGACTCAAATGGACTAATAAATCACATATCAGCTGATTTCTTTAACTAAAAGGGACCTATCCAGGGATCGAAAGCCTAACTCAACCAAGTATCAAAACGACTTCGAGTTCCTAAAAGCGATCATTACGAACTACAAACAAATCGGAAAAAGAGGAAAATGAAGAAAGCCCATTAGTGTTTCAAAGGAAGCTCACCTCTTTAGGCGGCCTAGGAAGAGAACCGGCGTACAGAGAGAGAGCGGTAAAGAGGGCCGGTTAGGGTTCCGCCGGTGGTAAGTCACTGGGTGCGAAAACGATCAAGGTCTGCTACTTGGAAACCGGACTCGGTACGGCTTTAAATAAAACGTCATCTGTAAGATACTGATCATAGCCTTTCATTTTTAGTCTGATATGATCAGACGGCCACTATTTCATATATTTTCTGGCCTGAATTTGATAGAGCCTTTAGCCCTTCATGCGAAATTTTAAGAATGAACGCCGCGAACGGCGAAATTCATTTTGGATTTCTAAGAAAATGCAGAGTTAATTTTTTTAAGTAAATTTAAAATTAATTTGCATTTTTTTAAAAGAAAATCAGAAGTATTTTTGTGATTTCTTCTTATTAATTACTGTTATTAATTACTATTTATTATTAACAGATAAAAAATGTTAAGTGATGGTAGTAATAGTAAATATGAATTTATTTTTTGTTTACATGCTTTAGGATGAAATATAAAATAAGAAAATAAGAAAATAATATTTATATTTTATGATTATTATAATTATTAATGTATTAATATTAAGTCTTTAATATATTAAATTTTATATATGCAAATTTAATTCAAATCTTTTAAAAATTAGATTATTAATTAACATAGGTTGAAAATTAATCTTTAAATAATTAATATGAATATTATAAATCTATATTGGTTATTAAATGATTGTATAATATTGATGGCATTGGATTCTTAGCATAATTATTATATGTGGCATTAGATCATGTACTTGTGATATTATTCATAAATATAAGCTAGTTTATATTATTATCGGCATCAACATGTCATATTAGGTGAGTTATAAAGTTGTATTAGCTAATTAATTGTTCTTGTTGCAGCAATTTATCATAAATTATTGACATGCAATCTGTCATATTAAACAATTTTTTATTTTCATTATTATTGTTCGATTTCTTCAATCTTTGTTATATAAGTGTTTCAAGTGCATGTGCAATTAAACATTAGGTAGACGTTCTTATGTTAATTTTGTTTTGCAAAGAAAAAGAGTTCATTAAGTTTCTCCTTTTTTCTTGATAATTAATTGGCCAAGTTTTGAGAATATTAGAGGCATCCCTACAAAAGAAAAGCAAACACATGTAGGAATGTATGGCTAGGTTTTTGGATAGTCCGCTACAGTTGAAGGTGAACATAAACAAAATTGTTAAGTGTTGCATGCATGTTTGGACAAAAGATAGATTTTCCATTTGAGACCTTATCCAACTGAACACTGGAGCTCATGGGAGTATTTCTTGGCTTGGCTTTATCCATTTCAATTTTTTTTTAAAATGTCCTTAATGTACTTTGATTGATTTAGAAAGATTCTATCGTCCAATTGTCTTATGTTAAACCTCAAAAAGTATGATAATTCTCTTATCATACTCATCTTAAATTCCTTACTCATTATTTTAGAAAAATCATCATATAGCTTTTTATCAGAAGATCCAAAAAGAATATCATCAACATAAATCTGAACAATGAGTAACTCATCTCCTACTTTCCTCAAAAAAAAGGTGGTGTCTACACTCCCCTTAACAAACTTCCTCTCTAATATAAATGTGTTAAGCCTCTCATATCAACCTTTGGGTACCTATTTTAATCCATATAAAGCCTTTTTTAATTTGTAAATATAATTTGAAAATTGGAAACTCTCAAAACCTGGGGGTTGCTCTACAAACACATTCTCTTTTATTACCACATTCAACTCTTAACATCCATTTGAAAAAGCATAAATCTCTTATAATAGACAAAGGCTAGTAGGACTCTAATGGCTTCCAATACAGGGGTAAAGGTCTCCTCAAAATTAATCCCTTCTATTTGGTTGTACCCTTAGCCACCAATATTGTTTTATTCCTAACCATCACACTATAATCATTAATTTTATTCTTAATGATCCATTTAATTCCTACAGCACTTTGATTATTAATATTTTTACCTGCTCCCAAACATCATTCCTCATAAATTGATTAAGTTCTTCTTGTATAGCTAGGATCCATAATTCATCAGAAAGAGCTTGATTGATGTTGGTGAGTTCAGTCATTGAGATAAAGGTAGAGTGGTTTACCTCCTTTCTAAGTCCATGCCTAATTCTAACACCTTCAAAAGGGTCTCATAAGATCATTTCTTTAGGATGACTTGAGGAATATCTCTAATATCTAGGCAAAGTGTTTTGAGGTTTTATCCTTTCCTCCAGATTTACAATTTCTACTCCTTGGGTAATCTCACCTACTCAATTAGTGTTTTGAGGCTCTACCATTCTCTTTAAATTTATAGTTTATACTCCTTGGATAATCTCTCTACCATTCTCTTTAAATTTGTAGACATTTTAGGATCAAATTCATCAAATACTACATGAGTTGTCTCCTCCACCACTAATGTCATCTTATTAAACACCCTAAAGGATTTTCCCACACTTGAATATCCTAAGAACACTCCATCAAATTTTGGGTCAAATTTTCCTAAGAGTGACTTCCCATTATTAAGAATGAAAATCTTACAACCAAAGATATGGAGATGGAAAAGGTTGGGTGTTCTACCCTTAATGATCTCATAGAGTGTCTTATTAAGTTTGAATCAAACATTCATCATATTCAACACATAACAAGCTATGTTTACCACTTTAACCAAAAAGTATTTTAGAAGTGAATACTCAGAAAGCATGGCTCTAGCGGGTTCAACTAAGGTCTTGTTCTTCTTTTCAGCTACCCCATTCTATTGGGGGTCCTTATAGTTGAGAAGTTATGACTAATCCCTTGATCCTCACAAAAATCTTTAAATCTCTCATTTTTAAACTCTCCACCATGGTCACTATAGATATTCAAGATCTCACAACCTAGCTTTTTCTTACTCCAAGTAGAAAACAATCTAAATTCATCAAAAGACTCACTTTTATGTAATAGAAATCTAATCCAAGTGAACCTCAAGTAGTCTTCGACAATTACAAATCCATAGACTTTTTCCCTTAAGCTAGCAGTGCTAATGGATCCAAATAAATTTATTTGAAGGACTTATAAAGGTCTAAATGTGCTAATGTTATTAATGGAATTGAAAGAGGATTGGACTTATTTCCCTAGTTGATAGGCATCATATAGTGGTCCTTAGCTAACTTAAGCTTGGGGATACCTCTAACTAGGTTCTTTTGGGTTACTCTCCTAAGGATTTTCATGCTGGCATAATATAACCTCTTATGCCATAACCAAGACACATCAGCAATAGCTTTTAAGTAAAAAGAAGTAGCACATTCAATGTTATTTGAATCATGCATATAAATATTATTGGCTCTTTTTTCTTACAAAATAGTGTTATTATTCAAGCTAATGATGCATGTGTTTACCAAAAATTTTATGATAAAGCCCTTGTCGCAAAGCTAATCGATACTGAGAAAATTGTATTTCAAGTCACCAATAAGTAAAATATTTTCAATCAAAATACTCTCGGAGTTTATGATTATACCAACAACCACCACTTTCTGGTGGTGTTGTCTCTAAGAGTGACCTAGCCTCCAACAAAATGAATTGATTGCCATCTCTAGTCATGTGTCATGAGCATCCACTATCTAGGTATCACATACTCTCACGAGATCTAGGACCCAACTAAGTTAGGGTTCCTTCTTATGAAAACAAAAGAATGCAATACATGTGTGTTATGCTGTGAATCATGCAATTTTGGTCTCCACACCTAATGTGTACTATAGTGAACAGTACAACTGTGTGAGATGTGTCCTAGCATGCCTCATGAAAAATATCTAACATAAGAAAAAGGGTTTACTAATTTACTCGGCTGATGATACCTCTTCTTAAAGTTGTGTGATACAAGCAATATTGGGGGTTTGCTTATTTGGGCTAATGGGGATTATGGTTTATCATTTTCAAATGCTATGAGTTTTTCTTTCAATGCTTTATTTTCATATTCATAAGCTGTCACTTCCACTTTTAGCTGATGTTCATTATTATATATTTCCCATGCAAGTTTATCTAACTTCTTAAACTCTTTTTTTAACTTAATATTCGATGTATTTAAGGAATCATGTTCATCAGATAATTCAATATACTTTTTATTTAATGCATCAAACTCATGAAGTAATGATATGTGATTGCTATCAAGTGTAGAGTAATCATTAAGTAAAACTTCATACTCATTTTGTAAATTTAAAATTTTCAATTTCAAGCTACCATGAAATTTCTTAAGTTTCCTATATGATGCATAAATTTTCTTCAAAACTTCAAGTAATTGATTATAGGTTATTTAACATACCTTTTCTTAGTTAGACTAACCAAGATGATCATCTGCCATCAAACATAAGTTTCTAGTCTCCTCTTCAGCTTCAGTCTCAGAAGAGTCCGATGTAGAATATGTCTAAAAAGCCTTTTGAATCTACTTCTTGTCCTTCCTGAACTTAGATTTATCCTCACCCTTCTCCTTGCTTGGGTGAGCCTTAAGTGTAGGTCAATCAGCTTTAACATGTCTTAGCTTCCTACATTCAAAATAAATCATATCGGGAGAACTTTAGAATTATTGCTACTCTTATGTTTATTTCACATAAGATGGTATTTTTATTTCTTCCTTAGAAAGCTTTTGAATAGCCTACTGATTAAGGCATCATAATCACTTTCAGACCCGGAAGAATCATTATCCCTATCGTTAGCCTTCAATGCCATAGTTTTCTACTTATTTTTCTCACATATATTAAGTTGTCTTTGGTTCACTCCTTGCTCGTAAGCAATTAGTGATCCAAGTAAGTTATGAATATAATAAGTATTCAAATCCTTGGATTCAATTATTACAGTAATCTTAGCATCAAAGGAAGAAGACAAGCAGCTCAAATTTTTTTTAACTTTTTCATACTTAATTAGCTCTCTTCTTAAGGAATGCAGTGATGTGACAATTTAAGTAAACCTAGTATACATTTCAGATATCAATTCACTAGGTTTCTTGCAAAAAAATTTGTAGTCATCTAGTAAGATAGTCAACCTAGATTGCTTAACATCACTTATACCTTCATAAGTAATACATAATATATCTCATATTTCTTTACCAATGGTACAAGTTAAGACATGCATGTAATCTT